GTAAATCCATACATACTTCCTGGAGTGGTGTGAGAAAGGCCAGGCATGAGACGGGTGCCTGGTAGGAGAGAAGCCTGGTAGGAGGTGAGACATATTTCCAACAAGCAGAGGAAAGAGAAGGGCCTAATGCCCTGTGCTTTTCTTTCTTTCTGATCTTTTTTTTTTTTTCAGACTTGTAAATTTTTTTTATATGTGTGACTATTTTACCTGTGTGGAGCTGAGACCAGGGCACTGGGCGCCCTGGACCTGGAGTTACAAGTGGTTATGAGCCACCACGGGGATGCTGGAAACTGAACCGAGACCCTCTGCAAGAGCGAGTACTCTAAACACTGAGCCAGCTCTCAACCCCACCCAGTGGTTTTCAAACTCGGGTTTGATATGGAACTGTTTAGTCAAACAAACCGTTTATTCAGAAGTTTTGGAGAAGCCTTGTTAGGAGCACACGGATCTAGCTCAGGTCCTAATTGTATCATTGGCTTAGTGGAGTTGTTTTGGGTCTCAGGTTCCACCTAAGAAATGGGTGAGCCAGGTTGATCATCCATAACCTCTGCGTCTGAAATCTGAAATCCTCTGAAGCCCAAAAGCTTGGGGGTTGGGACATTTCAATTTCAGATTTATTTTATTATTTTATTGTGTGTATGTATATGGGTGTTTTGACTGCATGTACACCTGCACACCAGAAGAGGGCATGAGATCCCACAGGACTACAGCTGTGGGCCACCTTGTGGGTGCTGGGAATTGGACTCAGGACCTCTGGAAGAGCGACCGGTGCTCTTAACTGCTGAGCCATCTTCCCAGCCTGCAGTTTAGAGCATTCGGATTAGAGATGCTCCACTGGAAATCTAAACAGATATTCTATGTGAATATGTATACAAGTTTGTGTGTGTGAAGGTGCACATTCACATATGCATGGAGGCCAGAGTTCAACATCTGATGTCTTCCTCAGTCACTCTGCCCCTTGGTTTGGTTTGGTTTGGTTTGGTTTGGTTTGGTTTGGTTTGGTTT